GTCTAGACATTTGTATTCAAGATTCTAATCTTGGTGTTGGTTGAGAGTCGTTTTGAGTCTCGGATGTTATTCAGTTGTAAATATGCTGCTCTTGCTTTGTCGATCCGCGTCCTCACATCTGTATCAGATCCACCGTGTTCATCAATGATGCTACCTAAGTACGTAAAAGTTTTTACATCCTCAAAAGCTTCTCTGTCAAGTGTGATTCGATTGATGCATGTTGTATTGTTGTTGTTGTGTTGTTGTTGTATTGTATCTGAGAGTGCTGCTTTTCCCTTTGTGTATATGGAGACCTACTGCTGCTGGTGGTACACTGGTGGTCTTCTCCTGCATTTGTTGTTGCGTGTTTCATAGAAGGACCAAATCGTCCGCGAAGTCCAGCTGCATCTTAGCTGTCGATTGCACCCCGTGCTTCCCTCCAAATGTTGACGTCTTCATGATCCAGTCGATCCCCAAGAGAAAGAAAAAGGTTGAGAGTAAGCAACCTTGCATGAGACCGGTCTCTACCTCGAATGAGTCTTTCAACTGTCCTCCATGTACGACTTTGCAGTTTAATCCATCATAGAAATCCCTTGTGACACTGACTGTCTTCTCAAGTACGCCGTAGTTTCAAATGAAGCCTCCGTCGTGTAGTCCTGTCCATGCTATCAAATGCTTTCTCGTAATCAATGAAGTTCATGTAGAGTGATGAACTCCATTCAATTGATTGTGCCACAATGATCCGTAGAGTTGCGCTTTTGTCATTACACGATCAATCCTTACGGAATCCTGCCTGTTGGTCTGGAAGTTGGGCGTCTACGAAGTCCTTCATTCTGTTTAACATCACCCTACTGAAGACCTTTCCTGGTATTAAGAGATGAATGATGCCTCTGTAGTTATCACAATTGCTGAGATTTCCTTTCTCTGGTATTTTGATCAGAAGTCCTTCTTTCCAGTCTGTTGGTACTTGTAATTCATCCCAAGTCTTACTGAAGAGAATGTGGAGTATATTTGCAAATACTGCTACACCTGCTTTCAGTGCTACTGCTGTAATGATCTCTATTCCTTGTGCTTTGCCGCTCTTTTCGGATATCCATGCTGATCTCTTCAATTGTTGGTGGACCAACTTCTATTGGGTGGTCCGTGGGTGCTACTTCGATGTTGGGTAGATTCAATGGAGCTGGTCGATTCAAGAATTCCCTGAAGTCCTCTATCCATCTGTTTTGTTGTTCCTCAATATTGGTGATTACTTTGACTTCCTTGCTTTTCACTGGTCGTCGCTTCTCTTGCAGCCTTTTCAGCTGTAATTGCTAGATCTTCCATATATTTACGTTTGTCGGCTCGACTTCACTTGCTTGATTTTTTTCTGTGTATCCAGCTTGTGCCTTGGCTTTCTCTGTTCTTGTTCGGCTGATATTCATTCCTGCCTTCTTTTTCCTCCTTTCTTCAATCTTATCTAGTGTATTAACAGTGATCCATTTCTTGTGATGATGCCTCTTTTGGCCCTGCTTCCTTGATTCTTTTTCTGTTGTTCTCCATAGTAATTCCCTCTCCACTGAGAAGCTCATGAAAGGCCTGGAACTTAGTGTTGAGGGCTATCTTGAATTTATTGAGTTTGTCAGTATTCCGAAGAAAAGTCGTATTATACTCTTGTGATGTTGTCCGCCCCGTTGTCTAGTGCTTCTTAAGTTTTAGTTTCATCTTGGCGACTAGCAAGTGATGATCTGTTACTATATCAGCTACTATATCAGGCGCATAGTAATGAATGACATTCATTGTAGTGCCCTCTTTCTTTGTTTTGAAGGAGGCTTTAATGATTTTGGGTCCATGAGATTCCCATCCTATAAGTGCTTCTTGTGCTTGTTTGGATATCATCAGTGCAACGCCTTGTGTATGTGGAACTTTTTCTTCTTCACGGCCGGAGTATAACAAAGGCTCTCCTGAAGCTAGTCGTTGTTGTCTAATGTGTTTCACCGATTCCAAGCACCTCCAGGTTGTATCTCTTCATTTCTGCAGCACTTTAGATGACTCTCCCGGTCTCCCACATTATACGAACATTGCATATACCTAAATTAATGGTTGCTCTGGTTATTAGAAGGAGCACCGACCTCGTGACTTCCGAATGAACTCGGCTTTTACCGTGAGACAACATAACTCTTCCAAGTGAAGACCTTCTCACTCCCAGGACAGAGTTCAAATGGTTTAGATAATTTTTATGGTAATAGTTTTTTAGCAAGTTAGTTTTCTATGGTATGGGGTCGCTAACCCAACTCCTAACCCTGCTTTATCCGGGCTTCAGACCGATAGTAGCCCCAGAGGGGTCCCAGTTGAAGCTTTTTATGAATGTGTTCAGTAAAAATAAACCTTTTTGTGTTCATTTTTTGACTTTTGTTGTTTTGATAAAAGAATAAGTTATTAATAAAAGCTACTCAGAACTTGCAATCACATACATAAAAGTATTAAGTTAGTAATGTTTACTACAGTGTTTAATCTCTTGAAATGTCGATTTCCATTTATGCACTTCTTGACAGCAACAAAAACATGAAATATGCTTTTGTTTTTCTTTGCCGGCTTTCTAGTTTGACACTACGGCTCGCTTAAAATAAATTTAATCAGTACTTAGACATTATGGATATAAAAAGACTATTACGTAGTATCTGTAGAATAACTCAAATAAATACCAACCCAGTGAGCATAAAGAAAATAATATCGCTAACATACTTATCAAATAAATATGTAAAGTAATCCGTACATCGTATGTCTGAAAGCAAAATAGCACGTATATCAAAGGTCGAATCAAGTCTATCATATGTCAAAGGTTTGTTCGCTCCTTTTGTGCGTGTCGTTGAAAGGTTGTAAGACAATTTCCGTTATACCAAATTAATGATACCTCACTTTTCTTCAGTTAACTACTGATAAAATCAAATGTTTACTCAAATGCGTTAGTAAAATCATATGCGGATAGTTAGTGATAAATTGTGCATAGATTTGCATAAAGGTAGGTCAGGTTCTTTTTAATGTTACACTTTTGTAATGCTTACATCTGTATATAAGATAAACATAATGGCATCTCACCAATATATTAACGGGATTATATCACCAATATATCTAACAACATGCCACTACACGAACGTCGAACCCAACTTATATAATTCTGAACCCATCTACACCAGCCTGTAAGAGATAAAAGCTTACACTCCCCATATAAGTCAACTTTATATGTATTGGTCTCTTAAAAACGTAAAATCGTTTATATGGATTGTCTAAAATAAAATTACGAATACAATATGGGCGACTTCTTGATACAATAACACCTTATTCGTACAATGACGTTGTTATTAAGGACTGCATTTCCAAGTCCCTTACGGCTTAAGTGTAATCATAAATTTATTAGCTACTTCAACATTAACTACTGATTTCTATAAAACTTACATCGCTCAATATGGTAACGAAACTAGACGAAATTTGAGTAGAATGCAAATTACGTAGACTAAGTCGTCTAATTGTTCTCTTCCTATAACGTCAATAAGAATCGAAGATGAAAAATGTTATCTATAGGGAACCACAGTTTGACCGACTGGAACCTTGCAACCTGTGCAATGCAAATGTAAAATAGTACATAAAATTCTGTTTTTCAACCATTCCCACTATCAATGACTGACCGTTCTAAACCTTTAGTTTCAGAAGGACTATTCCTGTCCATTATCGAGAATTGACTTATAACGCCCTAATTTTGCTGTCCTTATAGATTAAAAGTACCATTTTTGATTCAAAGGATTTGTTCTGAGTTTAATTTTCAGTAAATTACTTTTCTTTTTGAGCATTACCCGAGTTAATATTCAACCATAGTTCTTCTTCAGCTTACTACTAGGTGACCTAAGTGCCGCTTTGCTATCAACTGTGGTATGCAGTGGTATTCAGTGCGGCAAATACAAAGGTTGTCTACATAAAGCAGGAACAGACCTTAAAGTAACTGCTTGCAACAGACGGATCGCAAACGGGCGTGTGAATCTTGCAACACGAATGATGAGACTTGCTGAGCAATATTATCATACTTCTCACAGATCTAAGGAAAATATCACCTGCAACTATGAAAAAAGGCAATCGTTTAACCGGTAATCAAACAAAGGCGAGCAGTTATATTGAGAAGAGCATTGTTGACAAGATCAGTACCAAAGGAACATGCAACAGCACTAATAAAAAAATCATAGAACTCAATCCCATCATAACATCGACGGTGCTGGACCTTAACAATAAACTCTAACCCTCAGAACAGACTCTCTAAGTGCAACTGTGTCGTCTAGAACTTCCAATGTAGGTGACTGGAACGTCGTCAACACAGCTGAAAAAGATTGACTGTCACTGTCAAAAATGCTGAACAGACCATGCCTTGTGGACAAACCAGCTAGTGGATCGACAGGGCAATATACCCTTAAGATTATCCAAACAGCCGACAAAATGCACGAGGATCCGGACATAAATCTAACTGCCAAACAAAAAGGACACCAAGCTGAAAGTACTCGAAAATTTGGGAAAGCACTCACGTCCAGCAGTTATTTTCTCACAGTCATGAACCTTAAGGATAGCTCTGACCTCAGTCTCCAGGACAGTAACAACGAGATACTTTGAGAAGAGTTAAACAGGGATCTCAATCTTCCCAATCAGTCCCATCCTGATAAACTTTAAACAGTCATCTTCTCCCAAAACTCGAGTTTTTACCTCATTACTTATTGCATAGCAATCAACCAATCTCCTATCTGTTAACGTGATAGCTTCTGGTTACCAGAAACTCTACAGTCCACAGACGATTTACAAAATATACAAAACGATAAAGATTGAATCTAATTATTACAGCCGAGTTGCTAGAATACCCCCTCATTGGACACTGCCAAATACCTTGGACAGTACTGAAACATCAAAAAGAGATCTCAAAGAAATCAATCCGTTTATACAAGCTCACGACAAAGATATAGGACATCCAACCTATTACCGATTTTTTACTTATATTTATTTCACATATCCAGGCACCTACCCAGAAGGGTCACTCGCTACTATAACATTCATTGATCGAAAGAATCTCCTATATCGTTCACAACTATTTGAACCAACTGAGTTACTTGTGGATTTTGACCTTGAGAAACCCGTCAAGGAGGAAATCTGTAAAATAGAATGCCAAGAGGTGTGTTGGGATATACTTCAGTGGTCTATTTATACTATCTTGAGATCTTGAAATAACTTCGAAAATCATGACTTCAGTTATACACCTCATTGTCACGTGCTAGGTTGCAGTTCTCAGTCATTATAATGAGTTAGAGGTTAAGTATTTTATGATTAAAAGCTTAGAGCTGTGTATGATACTTAAATTTTCAAAATACAAGAACTACAGTCTTATTAATAAGTCACATCGCTCTCCTTGTACCTACAAGTATTTTACCTGTTGGGCTGTTTGAAACATGACTTAAAAAGTGTATCTCTTTTTATTACTAAATGTAAAGCAAAATCCTTCAGTACGTATTGAAAAATCTAACCTACTTATGACCATTACCACCCAAAAGTTTTGCCCACCAACTTTTATTATCGACAACTAATTATATAGGTTGCACTTTTAGGATCGAAAATGTCTGACAATATATCACTTTCAGCAATAAGTCCATGAATATTCTACTCCATCTTATATTTTAATATTCGTATCACAATCTAAAGTGTAGATTTAGTGTGGTCAACTTCTACTCGCACTGGGTTTAATAACTCAGTGTTACTAGATTACAAAAGTAAAACCAGCGACCTAGTGATTGACTTAACCACTAAGCTATCACGTCACTCTTAAGTATGCTTTCTCTCTGTAATTCCTCAGTCCTGTTGACCCACTTGCACTTCAGTTCTTATTACCTCACACATTATGATTAAGCTACTGTAGGACTTCGAAGGAAGAGCCTGGCTCTTCCATCGCATAACAACGTGGTCACCGTACATTGTCTTCAGAATCGGTTCTGATTCAAAGTCTTGCGACCCAGATATATATTTCTCTGTAATTCGAATTGTGTGGTTTGCATAGACAGTAATCGTTATGCATATTCCTACATTTGTGAAATTACTAATAACACTCGTACCATTTTAAGACGGTCTGAAGCCAGAAGCGTTCGGCCTTGACCTTCCTTAATTGATCACTCACCTTTAGTATAAACTAACAATAGGAATGGCTGTTCAAACTTGCGTGTCTACTACCTATACAGGCATATTTTGACGCACTTACTTGCATTCACTGGTTGGGATTGTCCAAAAGTGATTTTACGTTTTCCTCTTTATATCAGTATAATATAGTTTAACATGAGTTAACTTGTTTTGAACAACCGTCAATCTTGTGCTACTCCCTGCTGGGTGCTAGTTTTCGAGACGACACTTTAATCACACTTTCACTCACTGGTTGACAATAGCCTCTCTAGTCAATTAAACTAATCCCTTAGCTTAATTGCTTCAGACATAGCCTTTGCAAATATTTGATCAAATCCAATGCGAACTACATCTTCAAGCTCTGTTCCTAGCACCTGCTTCAGTTTGGGCACCTGGGCAGTATCTCAGCCCTCACACAAATCAAATGAGATTTGTGAGGCGCATATTTATCTGGTACTTTTTGTACCAATATTTATGTGTTTAAATAAAATAAAAATAAAATCTGTTCCTAGCATATGAGTTTCATCCAGCCCGCTTCTCTCATAAAGTTCGTCGTGCACGAGAAACCATTCATAATGTTACGCTGTCTATTAATTAACTGAATCTACTGATTCCATTGAACTATTCCCGTTGACACACGCGGAACATTAGCTTAACGTTAGGGTTCTTTCTTTTTTACTTCAACTTATAATTACCTGAGTTCACAAAGTTACAGACTTCATCAATTTAATCACCAATTACTTCAAGAAGTAGAGTCCAGAAGTTCAAATTACTGTACATTTTCCTTTGGTGTTTTTGAGGTGACTTGGTTTCGGTAACACGTAATGACTGTCCGAATGTTACAAGTTTATTTTAGACATGTGTACTTAAAAACAGTCACTTATATTGACTCTTAGAATTTTTCAAGTACGGTTGTAGATGGAAACGGTAACTTGTGCACCTATATATGTTAAGCAGGTAGTAAGAATAATTTTATAACTTTTTTCGGTTTCCATCCGAATATTGCAAACTTAACGATCGCGGTTATATGGACTAGCATGTTTGTGAAAGCTGTGCAAGCCTTCAGAAAATAAATTTGAATAACATATCGTCACTTGCGTTTTCAAATTGAGTTTTGTTGAGGATAGTGTCAAGAAATGCCCTTACATTGACACATTTTCAGAATTGGAGTTTGTGGAGATCGTAGTAATTTAGTAGTTGAATTCATGAGTCGATCTCGGCTAGACCACCATGTAAACCTGGAAGTACTGGACAGACGTTTCGTCCTAGTATGAGACTCCTCAGCAGTGCGCATCCACGATCCCACATATGGGACTCGAACCCAGGACCTCAGATCTCGCGCGCGGATGCTTAATCTCTAGACCACTGAGTCGGCATCCAACAGTGTTAATGAGTAACTTTAACCAACCCACGATATTGGTCGACCGTCCACCATTATCTTCAGTGAATAACTGCCTCACAATAAAAAGGGTTGAACTCCGCTAATCGCAGCTTCTCACTAGAACTCCAGGAATTACATCCTGAAGCCAGTCGCAAGGCCGGAGGTCCTAGGTTTGTATCTCACGTGAGGAGTCGTGAATGCGCACTGCTGAGGAGTCCCATATTAGGACGAACTATCCGTCCAGGTTTTCATTGGTGGTCTAGTTTAAATCGACTCACGGATCCAACTATTGACATATTTCCTCCGTTTTGATATTATTTTGGAGCGCAAAATATAGTACGCATATCCAGTCTTCTAATCCGCAAGTTATTAGGATAGGTGTGTTTTGTGTTCTCTAAGTAGACCTTTTGCATTTGCAAAGCTTTTCAAGCTCTACACTCACTCTTATCGAAAAGACCGCGGTCACTCAAATTAAAAAAGTCAGGAATCACTTTAGGCCCAACTGTCCTCTAAGGCATTATATTTTTACATAATTCTAGACAAATATAATCTGGAATATGGTCACATAGCATGTAATCTAGTGTTTTTCTTGTATCTACAGATTATGACAAACGCCCTCGATCAAGATCTCACGACCGGTACAGGGATCGTAATGATAATTGTGAGCGTTCTCGTAAACATCGAGAAGACTACCATCGAAGAGATCGCGACCACGGATACGATTGTGATGAAAGAGATGTAGAGAGAAGCCGATACCGACATGAAAAAGAAAAACGCAGAGAACGTGATAGCCGACGAAGACATGAACAAAATCATAATGACGAAAGATGGAAGCGCCGTACACGCTCTAGGAGCCCCATACCTCCAGCTGAAGCAGAAACCGTGGAGTATGAAGAGGGTAGGTTATTTTTGAAACTCATTCACTTTTTTAGCTGAACCAACTGAACCCGTAACCGAAGAGGAAGCAGAAATGATGCGCACTATGGGTTTCTGCAATTTCGGTACCACGAAAGGAAAACATGTTATCGGTAACAGCGTTTATGTGGCAAACATAGCAAAACAGCGAAAGTATCGTCAGTACATGAATCGTCGCGGAGGTTTCAATCGTCCTCTCGATCCAGTTGCTTAAACACTGATACTTGTATATATTCTTTTAATACCTGTCAAAACCCACTCAATATAACGAAATGTATTGATAGGAAATATAACTTTCGTATGCTTACTAGAATTGTAATATTTATTTCACAAAGTAAGAATGGCAAATTGCTGCTTAGGTATAACAAATGTACTTGTTAAGTTACAAAGTGAAACACTTGCTTAAAATAAATCACACAGTACTTCGCTTTCCGGGTAAGTGTTATTTGAAAAAAAGCAATCTAACATTCGATGCTCAACCAGCAATTCAGAAATACGCAATTACGAATAAAGCTAGTTCCTTTTACGAAAATTGTTCATATGATTTCGATAATTATATAGCAACTATATCGAGGATACTTGCTTCCCACAACATAGTTGAGACGTTAGTCGTTTTATCGTGCTTGCATCCTCACCTTACCAATTTTGAGTGAATCGATCCCAAACATTATTTACAATTGGCATGATTTCTTCATATTCTGCACTAACTGGTAAATCCGATTATTCTAACAAGTGCAGTTTTCCAAGTCGTATAACACGGACCATCTAGCATATCATCTGAATATGCAGTACTGTAGAATATTATAAGCATACTTTAAATTGATACTATTCTATACATCTAGACAAAAATGTAGTGTAGGATTCATACAGTACTAAATGTGGCATTGAAGTAGGGAGATTATCATTAGTGAAACATCTCAGTACTTGACCAAATCGTCACTAAAAGTTCAGAAACGTTGATCGTTTTTGCAACGCTACTATTATCTTAATTTTTACAAAAAATCTTTCGTCAGTTCTCATTCGAGTGTCTGAAAACCAAGAAACTAATGCATTGCCACGTTTTATTTAAATCATTTGTTGTACAAAAATAATGAGCAGCACATGTACATGGAGAAAGTAATATTGGTTTGTGTTATAAAATATTTACTATTTTACAACTGCATCAATCACGGAGTTCAGTCTTTGCCAGTGTAAGTCTTGTCGTATCAGTATTTTTCCCTTCAGCTAACATATGTCATGAAACATGAAACTGTTGGCTACCAAAAAAATCCAACATTTCGGAAAAAGGGTAAGCCCTTCGATGCATTAAAGTTCTGAAATAGATTAGTCATCTGAATCGTAGCGGTACAGAGTCATTGCTTGGTTTATGATCTTGTTTTTAAACAGTAACAAAGAGGGTCCATGTATTGAATTTAGAAATCTAGTTATACATTCGTCGTTTGTGAGTTGGGCCAAAGTAGGTTCTACGTTTGCCATGAGGAATAGGAGCACTAAAGCCATTAATTGACTTTCGTTCGGGTTCATATGTATATTCTTACTTGTAAGACTAAAAGAAAAAATATAAATATTGCTAATGAGTAGTGAAATCGTAGTGTCAAATCAAAAAAGAGAATTACGTCTTAAGTTTCCAAGACTTACTTGGTACATGTCATTACCAAAAAGTTGTTTTATTTTCATGCAGTATCGTCTCAATAGAGAATTGGTACCTTGCAAACAGAGTTTATCTTAATCAACCAACATATAGATAGGATATTTAATCATCGATGTCTTATTATCACCGAATGGCGAGACAAAAGTCAGCTATCAATGTCACAAGTAAGTAAACTATGGCGACGAGATATGACTGCAAAAGCTGTACTACTAACTAAACGGAAATGTAACGGCACTAATCGCTGAATGATGCGGACTTTTATTCCAGTGAAAAAGTTCAAAATGATCGTAAAACGACATCCATTCTAAGTAGGCCCTAATATTTTCCAAAACGAAGAAAGCTCTTCAGCTAAACCATCTAGCTTTGGAATTGAGACACTAAAGTCATTCACCTGAGTTGCAAATCCTCATCAATACAAATACGATCTTTTGACCATGGGTGGAAGAAAATTTCTAAAGGATGTTTCTTCAGAAACGTAAATTTTATGAAAATAGTTACAGTAATTATATGTATTCTTACTTTCACAATATTGGGCAGGATATTAAATTCAGTTATAAATTTGTTGAATAATTGAGAAACTTACTTAAAATGAAGCACAGAATTTTCTAATCTTCTGTATATGCAATAAATATTTATTTTCAAAGCATCTAATATAGGATTCATGCTAGAATTTAAAAAAGTAAATCGAGTTTTTTTTAAATAAGTGAATACTAAAACATTCACTTAGTTCACTATTATGTATTATTTTATTAAGTGCTTGATTCAAACTCTCTTTGGAATTCTACGCTAAATTGAAGTAATAATGTTGTGACTCAGTCGAAGAATAAGGCACACTAGTATATAGTATTAGTAGAAGGTACTTGTCACTCACCGAAATTCGCTAGCTTAAACAAAAGCCAGCTAAGTAGAAAGACAATTACAAGCTACTGAAAACTTGGTAGATTGGGATTCCAAGTCGTTCAAAAGACTCATTTAATTAACTCTAATGAAAGTAAACGGAACATCCCTAACCACATTAAACGTAACTAGGGGACTATAAGTCTAGGTACTTTTACTCCAAACTTTACATTTATAACTTACCGCTCACATTGTTGACATGCCACCATAGTTCATGTATGTAGACCTAAATCATATAAGCTTGTACCACACTAGCTTAATGACTAGTTTTGTAAGTTTACTAATTATCAATTCAAAAATGACTGTCTAGAAAAAGATTTACTAATCGCAATTACCATCTTATTTAAGAAACCACGTTTGCTGATGACTCTTGTCTCTACAATATTTAAAAGAATATTTTTTTCGAGTAAACAACAAATTATTCCGATTCTTCACATTTTATTATTTATTTATTTAAACACATAAATATTGGTACAAGGAAGCACCAGATACATATGCGCCTCACAAATCTCATTCGATTTGTGTGAGGGCTGTGATACTGCCCAGGTGCCCAGACTGAAGCAGGTGGTTTTCTTAGGGGGCCACACCCCGAGCCTTTGACCTGAATGTCTGATCCACAAGGCAGTGGAGCATCGTGAGGAGATGCAGTCCCATGGTAGCCGGTGATCAACGGTTGATTCGTACGCCATTTGTTCCCTCAGGATACTGGGGCCCATGTGCACCACTGGTTTGGAATCAGGGTTTTCCAACTCCCCTAGGTGAACTTTCCATGTCCACCAACCCGGTTAAAGCGCCGGACATTCGCTTTTCGTCCTCTCACTTTCGTAAACAACACCCCCGCCACGAGAAGGCAGTGAGTAGGACTTCCCTGTCAGAGGCTATATATTCGCTGGCCATATGAGAGCATTTCGAGAGGGAGAGGTGACTCTCCCCACTCTCGGCCGTACCAGGGCATTTGGGGGCTACTGCTATAACTGAACAAGATTAATACGGCCTAGTTCGAGAAAGTAGGTAAGATTGCAGATGATTTCATCATGCGCTAACCAAAAGCCCACAATCAGGTAAACAATTATATTTGAAAACACTGAGTCACATATAATTTATTCATCTGGCCAGTAGTCGTGTTATGAATAATTAAAACTTGGTATCAATTATCAATCACTTAATACATGAGTACACTTTACCATATTAATAAATTAAACTGCTTTAACCGACAAATGTGACTAAATCACTGGGTCACACATTGGCCTTCTCTTCACACGTAATTCCCTGTGAAAAATCAAGTTTAGTACACAGCAGGAAAAAATCCTACGTAGCACATATACTTCCACAGAAGTGTTGTGTATAACTAAATAAACATAAAAACCTCACCCAAAATAATTACCTTTTTTTGAGATCATCCAGAAGGATTTGTCTACGGAGAACTCCAGGAGAAACCGAATCAATAAGTGGTAGAACACAGGTAAGCGGATACTGGGAAAAACAAATTTTAAAATAATCCTGTATTTTAATGGATAAAATACTGAGATTTCTAGACAACTGTCTTATACAAATAAAAATACTCGATATTACGATCCAGATGAGGTTGAAATAAAAGAAATATAAGTTCCTTGTAGTGAATACTAGCTAATATAGACTGTATTTTACACACAGAAACCACGAACCCCTAATTGATTTCGCTAAAATAATCGTTAGGTCGTAGAGACCATTAGCGAATCTCAAGAGGCCTAAACCATTAGAATTAAGCTGGAAAGACGCTGAGGACCACTAAACGTGCTACCGAAACATGTGGAGGACAGAATCACAAGAAAGATCCATACACTGATTAACAGTAATATTTCAGTGCACACCAAAATAAGACATGGGAAACGCTATAATAGGAAAGGGAGTCAAACTTTATCCTATCATAGTAATCAACATTTGAAAGACTAAAATATTTATTTTGTGAAAGTCCAAGCTCAGACAGACTGGTTAACCACAATCAGTAAATCATTATACCCAATTTAGTTTCACGACGAAATTAATTTGTTAGTTTCGTCAAGGGGAATAATTTTCCTTAACTATTGACCATATCTAAAATAAAACCATCACTTTGGACTAAAAGTACGTAACAGTTTGTTAACACACTATGTGGTAAGCATATATACTGAGGAATGGTACTGCGATAGAAAGCAGATAAAACGCAATCAACTCACGTCAGAAAATTGAGTTTCCTCCCGGATTTCTTCTTTTGACGATACATGTTTTGAGAAAAATTGCTGCAAAATTCTTCTATGTAACCCATCAACCGAATTTGATTCCTCAGATGTAAATGTATGGGTAGTAAGAATTACAAAGGCTTTTTCAGTTAGCCATTCTTGTAAACGTTTTGAAAGTCTGTCACATACATTGGTACATACATTATTTTGGTTATCTAACGGATTTTTGCAATCTGATGGAGACGTAAGATGCATTTTTGACTGATCATCATAAGAAGTAACTGTAGATTCAACAGAGTCCAATGCACGTGGACAGATCTCACGAACTACGATGCTGTTTTCATTATTTGTTCCAAGTGCCAGTTTCTCGAGTTCCTTACGTGAATATTCCAATGTACTACTCGACAAGTCAATAGATTCAGCATTCATATTAAGTTCGTTTTCAATACTTGAATCACTTTCAGATCCATTTAAAAGTAAACGATTCTGAACATCTAAAATCACTTTACCAACATGTCCTGGAACGTTAGGAGGTAGCAAATTTATGTGACACGGTTTTAAACTATCTGATGAACGGCACCATGCTGGTTCTCTAGAAATCTGTTTTCGTATGTAACATGAAGCGCGGTAACACCAGTCTGAACAAAATGGCTACGACGAACAGAGTCAGTAGATTTAATTGGTATTTTTAAAAATGAATAGCAATAAAAAGCTGATTAATATTGAGTATCTACAAGATTACGAACCTCATTCTAAAACTAAGATTATGGAAATTGGGAATAACAGACATTCTCAAAACAAATTTACAGAAATAAAACGTATTTCCAGTGGTTACACACGACGTAATTCATAAAGACTCACAGTTTATATAATTCACAGGTTTATGATAGACAGACCTTTGAAGCACTGACCTCTGTAATACTATGCTTTATCTTAGCCACTGATCCACCGTTAACGTTGGTTCCTGAAAACGTCAAGTGGGTGAGTATTTGGTTTACTACGAATTCCGAACAAGCTCGGTCCTTTAACGTACGCCTTTTCTTCTATGTACATTGTTACACCTAAAATCACAACTGACTCGACAGTGTATGAGATATTAGTTAATACAACAAGTTATCCCAGGGTCCATGTGAAATAATATCATGTTTTTTGTCTCGACTCAACAACAGGTCGCTCAAAAGGCGCTATTTTTGAGCACATAAATCTAGAAATATAAGCTTATCAGGAATTATTCATAGGTTCAGCAATAAAAATAACGATAAATTCCTAATACCCCAGTCGATAGAAAATTGAGTTTCTGATGATCCGCAGTGAAATGTAAGTCACTTCTTCAGAAAAAACAAACTGGTCAGAAATGAGACTTTCTACTCTTTGGGATGTTACAAACTTATCATTATTTTTATGGTTAACAATTCATCTGATGCTCAATTCTTTTGAAATTATCAAGCCAAACCTCGGTGACGAAACTACGGAATTCTGAATTTTTAAACAGACCTATTAGAAAATCAGATTTTTCCACGTACTTCATAAATGAATTTTGTAAATAACTCTTTCTTCGTTACCGTTAAAATCGTAAAATGCACTTATAATTATCAGTAAACCATAAGATATGCTATTTTGAACCTTGTCTAACACCCTGTTACATACAGAACGACTGCAAAATAAACCTTTCTAACCTATAATTTGCCCTGATATTATTTCTCAGAAAATAAACTCATGTGTGAGACTCACTTGACGCTTGGTAATATCATATACTCTCCGAGTGGTTGTGCAAATACGGTACTTTTGTTTAGTGGTTTGACCTTTAGGCTTGGGACATAATGCATAACCACAGTTTCCATAAGCATTTCGCTCTATTGAGATATCGTCATACTGTTCACGTTCTAACCATGGTAACTAAATTGATGGGAAAACGTAAACGTCATCACTTGAATATAAATTTCGCCAAATAAACTAAGAAAATAGTAAGATTTATATAGTTTTCTTTACAATATTTTTATGTACATGAAAAAAAATCTTTAAAGTCAACTCTATGATGAATGTCCAAAAACTACAATATAAGTCGACTGTATAATGATCTAACAACTAACTTTTAGACTCATTCTAATCCCGCTAACGACTTGTTATACGATATCCAGATAATAAAAGTTCCTAATAAAATAGTGAAATTTGAATTCAAACATACTGAATTTAAAAGTCACCTCGACTTGATATGATGCCTAGTTCAACTCTGACCCACTTGCGGTACTCTACATACAGTGCTTATTTCCTGAAAATTAAACACCATGGAAGTCGACTACGAAGTTTCTGGAAGACAAAGAAACTATGCTAAGAATGTTTGATAGGTCATCACTACTAGAATAGCTTATTGCACCCAGAAGTTAGTTTCGAGAGGTTTCAGAGGGGAATGTGAACTTAGGCCACTTTTAGATCTAATCAATCTTGAGAAAACACTCTTAAGGAGATGCCATATTAAAATATAAATATTTTTATTCAGGTATTATCAATTAATATAGTCTTGATGTGCAGGATACGTCCTGACATGTCAGTTTTTGTCAACGACCAGTGAGATAATTTCCGGTTCTTGTTACGGGTTGACTTTAGTTGAATAGTCACTAAAATCTAGGAAAGATCAGACAGCTAGTTTTTCTTATTACAGAACACCTCAACAACAAAAACTTATGAACAAAACACAGGCCGTACACAAGACAATCAGGTCTCGCAAGAAGCACGTAGCATTTAGACTACTGAGTTTTAATTCAAGGGTACACATTACTAACCTCAATAAATGTGATAACATAAGTTTCCCAGAACGTGTGCACATGTAATCAGTTTTAATCATAATGCAAGTTTTCCTACCTTTACTTAAAATATGTGCGTTTCCTAAGAAAGAATATAAATAAACACAAAAAATATTCACGTTAGTGGTCTCAAATACGTTTACACATTCATCGGATATATGAGAATTAGAAAAAAACTTCACTCATTATAAATGAGTACATTCGATTGATTGGACAAAAACAATCGTCCAAAATACAAAAAACGACTAACCAGATATCTGTATTAATACTTACAGCATAAGCTAACATATTAGCATTTACAGGATTGTGAGCGAATCTTTCAACGATCCGTAAAGCTTGGCGTAGAAACAGTGCTTGTCGCTTTCTCGTCTCGACTTTATCTTTTTCTAATCCTTTGAAAAGTGGAGGGGCAGAGGGGACATCGAATTCATCATCCCCGTCTGAAGACATCTAAAAATAGTAAAATCTAAAAGATAAGCAACATGAATCCAAGGGGATTTGGTAAAACAATAATTACAGGAATATGTATATATATTCTTAAAAACGCAGCACAGTAAGAAAGCGCAAATAACAGAAAAGCAAATTTCAAGATTTCAATGAGATTCAGGGTAAGAAACATGCACGAGTAAGGAACAGTTTGTACACTTTGCATAAGGGACTTGGCATAGTACAGCAAGGTCGTCTAAGACATGACTTCCACCGCAGCGACAAGGAAACCAATAACAGTGACACTCTTGATTGTGGGATTGTAAATCTACGTCATGGACAGATTTGCCTTCATCATGAAATTGGTCAAAAGATACATCAGACTGTATAGGCAGCCCAGCGGAGTGAGATATAATTTTATGTTGTCTCAACAAGGCGTCATAAGCTTTACGTTTTTCTGGACATCGCAAAACACTCCATGCCCTTTCTATGACCAAGAATTTTGTATTTGAAACATCTGGATTTTTATCTGGATGGAACTTAAGTCGAGCTTCGTTAACAATTCGTTTGATTTCGTCTTCCATAGCATCCATGGTACACCCTAAAACCTCATAAAAATCATCCATTTTCCTAAAAAAATGCAGACGTTAAGCAAGTGGAACAAAATGAAGGGAGAAAAAGTGCAGTGATTTTAGTTGTGTATTTAAGATGTATATACATATTTGTGCATTTGTGTATAACAGTAAGGCTTTAATCGCTTTCTTCATCGGAATTGCAATATTCTGGTGCTTCGGGTTTGGCCCAACTTGGTTCTGATGATTTTGGAAGTTGAACTTTATTGGTTGAAGCCCAACCAGTCTCTACACTTTTAAGACAGCCACCTTTATCACTTTGTTCTCCTTCACACTGAACAGCAGAATGCGAACAGGAATGATGCTGATCTTCTTGATCACTTTCGCTTAATTCAGAATGCTTCTTTTTTTCACGCAGCATAGTAATACGGGATAATAGATTCTTGGCAAATTTGAAGAAGCCTTTGGTATCTGTAGTGCATGCGTAGCACCGTGCAGTTTTCTTATATCTCTGAAGAGCGCAATCACTACAAAAGTAATGTTTACATCTTTAGAATTAGGCAGATAGGTCTATTGAAACTTACATGGTTACAACTGGGTCTTTATAGTCTTTGCGACAAATCATGCAAAATAATGAAATGTCTTCAAAGCCTTCCTCTTCTTCAGATTTGTGTGATATTTCGTAACGATTGTCTTCACCATCAATTCCATATACTCCCTCGGCTAATTCTTGTTCTATTTGCCAACCATGTTTATAGTCTGATCTGTCATGCAGGAACTTGCAGCTATCCCCAAAACTACAAAATCCTGTTTCTTTGTAATCCTAAAATGCAAGTAAGTTAAGGCCCAAAACAAATATACACACTTTACAAATATCCGGTTGATAATCCCATCTTACAGTAGCTCTTAAATTGGCTGGCGCTCGCATAGGACCTTTACGGTTAAAGCCACTAGACGCATTGCCCATGACAGTGTCTTTCTTTTCAATGTACTGAGCGTAATTGTTGAGTCCCTTATATATATTACGATTCTGAGATTCCTGAAAACACAAACTATGATTCTATGAATGAAGTAGAAAACACACCTGGTTTATTTTTTGAGCCTTTTCAAAGATAGCTTGTGCATCACATTTTACATCGGTATCGACCTCCACAGTAGCAGTTGCAATATGCTCTTTTGTTATCCTAGATTCCTTGAAAATTCTAAATATTATAATAAAAAATTTACCTTGGAATGGGAAGCCTTATAAGTGACGGTATTAGGAGTGGTGTTATCAAACTTATCAGAATCATCATCAGATGAGCAGTTTTTGTTACCACTAAACTTTGAGGTCTAAAACTGTATATTACAGTTATCACTAGCAAACCTGTTGATACAGCATATTATTAATGTGACGTCTTTTCTGAGTTTTTATGACTGCTTCATCTTCACTAGAAGAGCCTTTCTCAAAATAAAATTTATGCAAAATCAATACCCTCTTTTTGTCGTATATTCTTTCGACTACGCTTTTTAAAGAAAACACAACTTTCGTTCACGTTGTCCGTCATACTTAGTATCTAGATGAAAAATAAAAAGACTGGTACAAGCTTAACATTAACTTCTGTAACAATGGCAAATAAAATCAAGTTCCTTGAATTTATGTACAACGGTAACTACCAGCTTTCACTTGATTTCTGTTCATGCAAAGATGATATCCTGGTACAGAGGGGAGTTTCCGAAAATAAGGTGAATATATTTGCACAAAACCTACTTCGGTCTAAGTACTCGAGGACTATTCAAGACCGCACACAATTATGATGATTATTAGTAAACAAAATCCTTTTGCCCGAACTTATTATTTACATAAACGACTATTCCATTTACTTAACTGAATACAAAGTTATTTTAAATCTCCTTATCTTTCTATTGCCTCTCATTACCATTCTGTGTTTGTTCTTTATTTCCAAATCACAAACGAGCTCGCCTACAGTGGAAATTTCTTCCTACCCAAAATGAACTCCAGCCACTGAATGGTCGAAATTTTAATGCTACCAATGAATGAAAACCCTGAATTAGTTTTTCTGGAACGACGTGTGCCATTCAAACAGACTTACTTTGACGTTTGCACACTAATACAGATTGTGAAACAGAAAGCTTTGGCTATGTCTTTGGACAGTATAAATATCTACTCGTACTATCTATCCGAGAACCATATTCAAGACCTTAGTAAAATACTAAGAATTTTCTCCCCATCTGTGAATGCAACAAGACTGTTTTATGTGTATACTTAAGAAGACTCTGTGACAACTTTTTCCGGCTTTGCTGACGTAAGTGACTCAATAAGCCTCAGAGAAAATGCTGCACTAGTCGACTGAATCCTCATTGACAAATGCCGAATGTTCTTTCAACTCATTCGAGTCACTGGCAGCAAGAGTCGGTCAGTCAGCTACAACGTAGGACCAGGCACATACATGCATCGGTCGTTAGCACAACAAGATGTACACCGAATTCATAGAAGTGTGGGCAACCGGGAAGTGATACCTCTAACAGCATTGGCAGCAAGATGTCTGGAGTGGGTGGATTTTGATGTAACGTCAGTCAACAACATTTCTTTACGTCTTGGACGATAGAGCTCTTCGACAAACAGTTTGACTGGTCTGCTGCCTCGGTGACAACGACTGAACTGCCCTGTCCTCCATGGCCGGTGAAGAACAGTTAACCTAAAGAGGAGGAAGTCTGCGAGAAACTCCAACTCCCGAAGCCACAAAAATCACCAGGCCCAAACGATTTGCTTCCGAGTCTTTTTAAAGACGGAGAACTTTCGGTTCGCGACCTGGCTGGGTTGTTTGAAAATATTTCGTCCATACTGTTGGAGCATGACCGAATGAAGTAGTAGCCATTCATATTTTTGAAAAGGGTGTTGGTCATCTATGCAACAACTATCGGAGTAAGTCTACTTCCGATCGTGTCGAGACTATCGGCTTCCGTCATACTTCTTAGATTATTCAAATCCGTGAAAATATTGACTCATGAGAAGCAGACTGGTTTTCGTTCAGTTTTTAGATATATTGAACAAATCTTCACCTTCCACCAACTGTTAGAACACCACCATATTTATTGCAGGCCAACAATTGTAGTTTTTTTATACCAAAGCCGCCTTCGATTCATTTAACAGGGTTGTGCTCTGACCCAACGGTAGCTGCTACCTCGACGTGGTGGTCGGGCTTGCCTATCGTGATGACCCAACCGAGCTATATTGGCTGGAACAGATGTTTCTGTAGGTTCTGCTATGCCAGACAGGTCAATTGGAGAACGGTAAAACTAAAAGCGGTAACTCAAGGTCTGGGGGCGAAGTCGTACTGCTGACTGTAGAGGGGTGTGACAGCAGTAAGGTGTTCCCCTTGGACAACCAGTATCTGCAGTGATGCTGCCTTCTCACAGGAAAGTAAGGGGTTAGAAAAGGTCGACCGTAAAAATGCACACCTCACCTTATCCCACGGATATCCGTCTCCGTAGGTAATGCCTTTTAAAGAACGGAGCTAATAAGTTAAAAACTCCCCACAAAAAGATCATGTGTGACCGGCCTCAAGCAGTTGTCCCTGGGGCTCTGAGGTCACGCTCCCAGGTCGTTACGACCAACACTAATCCAATTTCCTTTTCAGGCTTCTCGAGAAATACTCTTCCACGGTGTGGGCAGCCGGGAAGTGACATCAGCCTTCATACTCGCAACAACACACGAGACCAAGTTGGCCACAGTCAAATCCTTCCTACACCTCCTAATAACCCTCTTATTTACATGACTAATCCTTCTCACGTTCTTTTATTTCAGGAAAAACTAGAAAAACAATTATGCAGTTATGTAAGTTGTGCCCACTCCGAGGCAATGCGGAATGACATCCGAAAAGCTGTGGAAACAGTAGTGATAACTGCTAGTACGATAAACCATAAGGTTAGGGAGAAACGCTGGATCTCGGCAGCATCTACTGAACTGATAGATGCTCGAAAACTCATTCTATATCGCTCTAAACATAACGAAGAGCGGAGTCAACTTAAGCACAGGCTAACAAGAAACCTACGCAATGATCGCGAACAGTTGTCGATTCAAATCCCATAGTGGTGGAGGTAGTAAACACAAGCAGTAATCTGAAAGATTAAGGTTTGAAGATGTTATTCAAGGAGTATAATCCAGTGAAATAAATTTGAAAAGAGAAAAAAAGATAGGGACATGAAGAATTCAGATTAGAATTTGGCAAAACACAAAATGTGGATGCACCTTCGCCAATGCAAACGATTTTGAGCCACGTCATTCAACGTCTCTAACCATCGATTGCTATCATCTCGCGAATCCCAACCAGGTAGTCTACACCTACCAACATATCTCAGTCCACTTTTCAGTGGCTCCATGGATTTGTGCCATGTTTTGGTCTGGCTGCCCCTAGCTTTCTTCCAATCTACTCCTACACCATAAAACAT